TTTCAAGTCCTAAAAATATTGCATCTTATAATACATTGTCTAGACTGTCCGTTTTCAAGTTTTTCGAGTGTAGATCTGCTAGATTTGCTTCATTTTTTGAGCTTTCAATTTCATATTGGGGGTGAAAAATAGACTTTTAGGTCAAGATAAGAATTTTGGCACCGAAAATACGTCCTTTAATAAGATTTTGACGTGCAGCTTACTGGGATTGTTTAAGGTTGATACCTTATACAAACATCACCCTACTTCAATATAAAGAGACCATTTATCTTTTGTACAGTGAGGTCACAATCACTCTTGTCCTTTAAATTTCAAAATGGGCGGTTGTAAAAAAAAAACTATGAATACAAAAGATAAATAGTCTTTTGTAGACAATTATCAATATAAAACTAAATGTTTCTTATTTTAGGACTGTTTTAGGTAGTACTGGTTAAGTGCATACAAAAAGTGTTTTGCAGCCACTCCTCAAATCTCGTAGGAAAATGTTGTACCCAAAGACCTGCAAATCAGTCATCTCGATCTCAACCAGTGGTCGATAAAGGAAAATTGATTTCTAGGCCCTAAAATGGTGTATTTTGTAAATCGATACGTTACTTCAAGTGTTTACAAATCTACCATATACATCATTTTTTGAGCTTCAAATTTCATAGTCAATAACAAAAATCTAGATTTCTAAGCCATCACGAGAGTACTAGAGCAGGAATTGCATTGTGCCGGCAGGGTTTTGAGATGCAGCTTTACCAATATCGTAGAGGGGCAGTTTGTCTATATACTAAGTTGACAATAAAATTGTTAGATTTACAAATAACTTGCAAATAAGCTACTCTCCATAATGTCACAGGACAAATATTTTTTTTATATTCTTTCCTGAAAGGAAGGTACACACCATCAAAAGATTAATTTGCATATGGAGAGCTTTAAAAACGTTCAAGCATGACATGGCTAAATCAACATCTGTGGTGTTGGTAAATCATTGTGGGAGAAATCACAACGTAAAATCTTGTTTAATGCGAATAACGATTTGCCTATCTCCTCTATTCTTAACACTCACGAAAAAGACATACAAGCAAATATGCAGCCTGTGAGACATTTTAATGGTTGTTACCATGACCATTGCTTTGCAACGCTACAAAAGAACAAAACCGTTTGGACTTTCCAGTGTTACACAGTTCTCAATCCATCTATAGAAGACATGAGGTATTTTAAGTACAGGAAAAAATAAATTTTTTTTTTTTTGAAATGTGGTGCACTATATACCACAAATATTTCATAATGGAAAAGTTTTTATAAAGTTGTGACCTTAAAATGTAGAATTAAAGCTGCACCTAAAACATCCATCATAAAAGGTTGTTTGGATGTTGTAAAACCTCTAATTGATCATCTCGACATCAAGATGTATAAATAAGAAAAGAAAAAACAATTTCGAGTTTGCAAAATAGTGTATCTTGCAACACATTATCTAGACGGTCTATTTTCAAGATTTTCATGTGTTTATAGATCTACGTGATTTGAACCATTTTTAGATCTTAAAATTTATAATTAGATATGAAAATAGATTCTTAAGCCACCCTAATAATTTTTTATATCAAAATTACATTTATGATAAAATTCAGAGGTGCTCCTTAATTAGATTGTTTAAGCTTTCAACCTTATGCAAACAACGCCCTTTCATAATACAAGTTGATGTGTAACTTACTTTTGGGTTTTTGATAGGGTTGTAATGTTGTGGCCCTAAACAATTAAACAAACTGTGCAATTTCAAATAGTATCAAAAGATGTTTCAGTACTAAGAATTTTTGAAATGGCTTGAAAAATTATTTTCATATCTAATTATAAAATTTAAAGCTTCAAAATAGTGTATTTCAAACAGATCCATAAACACTTGAAAATCTTGAAAATTGACAATCCAAAAAATGCATTACAAGATGCACTATTTTCAAAACTTGAAATCATTTTTTTTTTTTCATGTTTATGTATCTTAAAGTCGAGATAATTGATTTGAAGATTTTTTAGCATCGAAACAACCTCTTCTAGTGAATTTTTAAGGTTCCCTTTAATTTGATTGTTTAGGGCCTCACCTTTATATAATGTTTTTCTTTTAGATATGGCAAGATAATAAAAAGTCATTCACATACCTTAGATGCTCTCAATTGATCAATTATTCACATCAATAATAAGTTGTTTTCTATCATAAACTCAAGATTGTATATTATGAGACCATTTATTTTTATTACAAGGAAGTCAATTGCTATTAGTCATTGGATATCAAATTGGAAGGCTTGAGATGTATCACAAAGCTCAAGAGATTTGATTTGTTTTTTTTTTTTTTTAAGTTTGAGTCGAGCCAATGACATACAACTACCCGATTTGAAATTTAACAAACGAGAATGATTGTGACTTCCTTGTATTTAAAGTAAATGGTCTCTCTGTATACTTTTTCTTCAAACTCATTGTCCTAAAGAGAATTGTAACATTCAGGGCAAAGGAGATTAGTAGCTTACGTTACAAAATAAAAGAGAAAAGAAAGAAATGAGAAGGAAAAGGAAAAAGTTGGAAGCTCTCTTTCCTTGATACAAAAGAAATACAATAATATAATACCCCACTTGTCCCTTAAAACTCAAGCACACAAAGGATAGCTCTCAGAAAAAGTAAAAACAAAAACAACTCTACACTGAATTCAGTTTATCCATTTATTTCATCTGACTTTGAGATCTAAAAAATGGTTCCGAACCAGGAGTATGAGCTCTCAAACACAACTGCCCGCATCTCTTTAAGTTATCCATGTTTCCCATCACTTCCAAGTATTCTAGAGGGAGGAGAGCTCTTCCCTGGAGATCATTCTAGGGAGAGGAACTACGGCTACTAGTCTTAGTAATACAAATAAGCATCTCTAGAAGCTTTCCTGCCAAGCATCCTAGAAAAAGAAGAGCCCTTTCCAACTATTCCATAGAGAGAGCTAGGACTATTAGAGTCAGTAATCCAGCCCAACTTCTCCAAGAGTTTCCTAACATACTTTCCAGTCACATAGGAGAGACCTGAAGCTCCCACTCCTATGGCAACATACTGCAAAGTTGTCTTGATATAAGACTTTGAGGTGACCTTTGCCTTTGCCATGGCAAGCAAAATTATGCAGAGGAGAGAGGCGGCTGACATCGCAATAAGCTTTTTGTCTTTGTCATCGCTCTCTCTAAAGGAGAAGCCATATGTGATGGGAGCCACCAACCCGAACACAATGTATGATAGAAATGTTATAAATACATGGAACCCAAACCTCTCTGGATGGCCAACTGTCTCAGCAAATTTACTTGGAGTTTTGCGTAACTCAACAAGCTGCACAAAGGCAAATAAAGGAAAAAATGTAATCCCATTTTATTTTGGAAAAGCATATTAATAGTCAGATGCATTATGTAAAAACTATCATCTATCGGAGTCATGAACTTTTTGATGAAATGATGCACAAATCAATGGAAGGGACCCACCCAAATAGGTTATCGCTCAAATGGGTCCCATCATTCCTCCATCACTGTACATCATTTCATCAAACAATAGAGGGCCAACTGGCCCTAGGTTCTATAGCCAACTATGGTAGACTTTTCTGTTTGGTAAAAATACAGTAGAACTGAAGAAAGATTATAAAATTTAGTGAAAGTGATCCAACCATTCGAAGTGTCAGAAGAGGCAAATCACTATACATTTTAAAGAGTTCAAAGACATGTATTACTGGTTGCTAATGTCCCATGAGACTATGATTTCCATGGCCTGTTAATGAAAGTACACTTCCCGTTTATATGGTAAATGAAGTGGAATTGGAGTCTAGCAAGATAATGGAATATAGAGAAAATGGTATACTTATGGAAACTAACTGGAGTACAACTCACTACACGTTTTGAGGACTACAAAGATAGGAATAACTAAATGTCCATCCATAAAGCATGTCAATTTGCAATCACGACAAACATGTGTCCTAATTTCGTAAGTTACATGCTATAGGCTAAGATGGCCCAGTAAGGAGAAGGATGGTGATACGACAGTTGCATTTCTCAAAATCAAGGACATGGATGATACCGGTATCGAATTTGACTCACAATAGATTATATTATAGCTTGTACAACATATAAATACCATATAATAATACATAACATTTTATTTTATATATACTGAACTTCCATCTCACTTTCTATTTACAAGTATCCTAGGAGTACTGATATCACTATCCATGTCAACACAGTGTGACACCAGTACTTCAAGCACATATGAGTATACATGCATCATAGGCTATAAGTGAGGGGAAAACAAAACAAGCAGAATGGGGATGAATTAGACCATCTCTGCAACATCAAATGGTCGAGGTCTCTACCGCTACATAAACCTAATGAGGTTGGGATTGGAAGGGAGTCCTAAGGTATTTTATATGCGTGGGCAGGTTGGCAAGCGAGTGTTTCTTGGAGTTTTATTCTCTGTTCATCAATTTCCCTTTGCCTGTTGTTTTTTTTGTTTAATATATATTTTAAATGGTGGGAATGGAGGGTGTGTGTGATGTTATGTTTGCAATGTCCTAACCAATGTTTGAAAAGTCGTCGAGCCGAACTGGACTCGCCCGGTTCGACACGGGAATCGGTACCCCCCGTGGCGGTTCTAGCAAAACACGGAGAATCGTTCATGTCTAGAGAGAACCTGGCGAGTCCAACGATTTTGACGTCAAGGACCGGTTTCTGACATCACAAACACGGCGGAGTCGGGCGAGTCGAACATATGCATGTGTCGTGCACGCGCGCACGTGAGCGCGCATAAGCTTGAAGCGCCAACTTTTTATAGCTGCGATGATTGTAATTATTCGTAACTAATTTATAGTTGTTAATCTTTCTCAAAACGTTCGATGTGAGAAATTGAGCTAGTAGTCTTGAGAACATAAGACAATACATATATAAAAATATTATAGAAAACAAGACAAGTGTAACGTGGTTAAGTCGGTATGACTTTTGTTTCACTCGTTAAAGGTTATGAGTTCAAATCCTCCGGGTACCATTCCATTTTTTGTCCAAAAAAAAAAAAATTTTAAAAATAAAAAAAAGAAGAAGTTATAGAAATATAATGAAAGTTATCTTGACAAAAAAAAAAATTTATGATAAAAAAAAATTATATTGAAAAAAATAAAAGTCATGAAAAAAAAAAAATTTACTTTTAACAAAAAAAAAAAATTTTGTCAAAAAAATAAAAGTTATCTTGACTAATTGTTTAAAAAACGGATTAGTATCCCGGATCGGGCACCCCAAAAACCCATCCGGATCGATGAATCGGCGATCCGAATCGGGAATTGGTCAAATCGTTCGGATTAAACTTTAAAAAAAATCCAAAAAAATTATTAAAATTCATTATAAATGTTCTTTTTCAGGAATCCAATAAGAAATGGGGGTACCACATTATTAATTTTTATTTTTTTCATCAATATGCAAATATTGAGATGTTCTTTCCCTGTATGAACTTATGTTAACAATTAAATTTACATAACACAAAAGAAATCATAGAATTATCATAGATGAAGTATAAAATAACACATGGATTACAATAAAGAATGGATCAAAGTAACTCTTGTCAAAATGACCACCAAAATTTTTTTTCAAGGTAACTTTTATTTTTTTGACAAAAAATTATTTTTTTGTCAAGATAACTTTTACGTTTTTGTTATAACTTTTATTTTTTTGTCAATGTAACTTTTTTTTGTCAAAATAACTCTTATTTTTTGTCAAGATAACTTTTATTTTTTTGACAAAATTTTTTTTTTTGTTAAAATAATTTTTATTTTTTTTTGTAACTTTTATTTTTTTCAATATATTTTTTTTATCATAATTTTTATTTTTTGTCAAGATAACTTTTTTATATTTCTATAACTTCTTTTTTTGAACTTTTTTTTTTTGACAAAAAATGGAATGTGGCACGAAGGATTTGAACTCGTAACCTTTAACGAGTGAAACAAAAGTCATACCGACTTAACCATGGTACACTACTTGTCTTGTTTTGTATATATATATATATATATAGTCTTACGTTCTCAAGACTACTAGCTCAATATCCCACATCGAACGTTTTGAGAAAGATTAGCAACTATAAATTAGTTATGAATAACAACAAACATCGCGACCGTGAAAAGTTGGCGCTTCAAGCTTATGCACGGCACACACTTATGTCCAACTCGCCCGACTCCGCCGTGTTTGTGACGTTAGAAATTTGTCCTTGACGTCAAAATCGTCAGACTCGCCCGGTTCTCTCTAGACATGGGCGATTTTCCGTGTTTTGCTGGAACCAGCACGAGGTGCCGATTCCCGTGTCGAACCGGGCGAGTCTGGTTCGATTCGACAACTTTTCAAACACTGGTCCTGACTATTACACCGTGCAAAGGGTTTCAAGAGATCTCTGAAAATACTTACCCAAAATATGAATTCTTTCAAAATAACTTTATTTGCCATGTAAAGAAAGGAAAAGAAAAAAAAAATATAGATGGTGAATAGCAGAATTATTGTACAAATTTGTCAGTCCAACAATAGGTAATTATGTTAAAATTGTCACTACAAAATCAACATTCCACCTATCTATGAGCTATTGGATAAAAGTAGTTTATGGAAGCCAATTCTTTAAGGAATGAAATACCAATGATCCTAGACAGATTTAGATTATGTTGCTTCACTACATGCAAAAAAGATAGAAAACACTAGTAATAGCAGTGAGGAAACACTCACATCATTAGCCATTATGAACAGACCAGTAATTAAATTTGCGAACCCCATAGCCACAATTGTCACTGCAAGGTCCATAAAAAAAAGCAATCAAGATAAATCATTTGCAGATTTCCATTAAAAACCTGACATGATATCGTGTAATACATGGTTATCCCTGGGTAAATGCTATACTATTGAGAAATGGATCAAAGTATCAAACTAATTGAAGACACCAATAAGCATCACTAAGATTTCAAAATATTATTATTTAAGGATGTGAAGATTCCCATACAAACTTCCATATTAGCTCAATGTGAAATTTTTATAAATATCAATAGAACAAATGATGTGCACCACTTCAATGACATTATCCCTTATCATTACAAAAAGAATGTATACTAGGGTTCCCAGTACATATGCAACAGTTATAGGTGTCCTTGTTCTTTAACAATGTACAACCTAAAATGAATTCTAAGTTTGTATATAATGAAGAGGATGAATCCTCATGTTAGGATTCTACCTCAACCAAGTATTTATAACTAAAAACTTACATTATACACGTGAAATGCATTTACACACATCAACATTGTGTTCTACCTGCAGTAAAAGCACGATGGATAAAGGTCCTCATATGTAGATAAACTTTCATCAAACTAGAAGTTCATTACAAAGGACCTTTTAGACTTTTTTTTTTTAACGAGTGCAGTGAAGTCTCAACTACCTATATTCACAGAGACTGCCAACCTTCATGTATTTGTTTCATTAATGAAACATAGGAAGTAAATCAATTGCTAAAAGGTTCCAATTTTTTTGGGAGACTGAAAAATCAAAGTAAGTCTACTAGTGTTAGATGTGATTGCACTGAGTGCTACTTTAGTTTGAATCATGCAAAACCAGGCTGTTTCTTGTTTCCCCAAGCAACTGAGTTATTGATTTGTTGCAAAGTAAGATACAGAACTCTAAAGTCGACCACTTGACAAGTAAGCAGTTAGATTGTATGCATATGATTATCCTCTGAATATTTATTAGAGTATAATGAAAAGGATATGGTTTTTATGAGTCGACTGATCATTTGTAGGTATCTGTCCTCTCTCTATGATCCATTTTTCAGATGGATTTTGAACCCAATTTCTTAGGAATATATAATCTCCAACATGGGATCACTAATATGCAAAAATAAATAGATTTTAAAAATTATTAAATGATATTTTTAGCACAACAATTTTAGACCATTAGTTTTATTTTATTAGGGACAACCACTTTTTAGCATCCATCCTTAGGATGGAGCTTTGATGCATCAGGGAATGCTAATGCAGAATTGTGCCCCCTGTTGCACAAAACAGTTTTCCTAATGCAAAAGAAAGTAAAATCATTTCTTTGTGGCATCAACCATTTAGTGAACCCTTTTTGGAGGGACATGAGAATTTATTTCTTCATGTCAATCTTCACAGGTTAGCTATTACTTTCTCCTTGATATAAAAGAATTGATATATAGTGAGTGAATAGGCTTTAAAAAGTGTCTCAAGCAGTTGTTGACATTGGTTTTCAATAGACAAGTTTGAACAATTTTAGCTGGATAGTGGAATAATCATAATCTCTTTTCATTCTATTAACTCATTATCAAAGCCTTTTCCAAATTAATTGGGGTCGGCTACTCGAATCTTAGTCCATGATGAGTACAAAAAAAGTGATGGAAAGTTAGCCAAGGGAAGATAAATTTAAAATTTTACTACAAGCAACAAATGCATCCTAAACATATCGAAGAGTGACATAAGAAGCTATAGCAGGGCAAGAAATCTACATTTGCCATTGAATATTCTTTCTGACAAGTTCAAAATGCTATAAAAATTATGATGCTTACATGTACTTGCATCACCACCAGCTGCAGAAGAAATAATAGCAAGGCTGGTAATTGATTCAGCTAACCCTCCATATACAATGCTTTTCAAGATTTCCCATTCATGATAACTAGTCCCTTGTGGTAAGTTGTGGGTGCCAACTCCTACTGTAGTTTGTAGAACTGAACCTTTTAATTGTCCTGGAACTGACACACTTGGCTCTTCTCTTGGTTTGGCAGGTTGAATTTTCTGACCTTGAATGTGGATACCTACGCCAGAGGCTATCAATTGGCTTCCAGGTGATGGAGTTATCTCCAATCTATGTTCTTCAACTACATCACATAATGAAAAGAAATTGTTATTTAAGTAGGTCGCTAAGAGAAATTGTTATTAAGCAGGTCGCTAAGAGAAGTACCATTATTAACACATTAAGATAAGTTTTAGTTGGGATTGAATGCAACTGAATTTGTTTTATTGTTGCAAAAAGTAGATATAAGAATTACATGATTGCTGAAATGTAGATTGCTGAAAAATATATAATCCGAACATGATCTTTATGAAAATCAAAAAAAAAAAAGAAGAAAAAGAAAAATTCGCATAGTAAAGAGGTTGGATATATACTACTTGTGCACCATGTTGTTAAGGTTGATGTACCATATGGGAGAGTTGAGAAAACAAACTCAACCTCAATGTAATACCCTTGCCATGCTTTGCCTTGTGTTCATTATGTATTAAAATCGTCGTCATTAACACTAGACCGACATGTCCGACCGCTTTGACAGCCAAGAGTACCTTAGCTGGTCTGGTCTAAATCACAAATGGGTATGGTAAAAAACCGGTCAAAATCAATATCCAGTTTTGGCCATCGGACTGGTAGGTTTTGATCGGTTCAACCAATTAAACAAAGTAGGGCAATTCTTTAGTATATTTCATAATCTTAAACTATTATTTCGATTTTTATTTTATTTATTTTAAACATTGGTCCAACTGCTTCGATAAAACACTTGACCAATTTTGACTGGACCAAATCAATCACTGATTCGGTGGTCTGTCTGATCCTAATAACATTGATTAAAATCAAAAGGTGCGTGTGAATTTCCTAATGATAATTTATGTATTATATGGAAATTCAAAGGGAAGACACTAACTGGTTAGTTTCTCTATTAAAGGTTAGTATGCAAACACCGAAAAAAAAGCTTCTTGATCCTCAAGAGAATGGGAATTTCCAAGAAAGCCACCTTAAAGGCAAGATATGGACCGGTTAGAATTCTCCATCAAATCCTGAAGTTCAGTTCAAAGCAATAATGCATTAGGATCAGCATCCTCCAGACATTATATTGTTGCATGTGTTTGTTTCGTCTCTTGGCTTTCTTTGTGAGCATTGCATGGGTCGTTCAAGATCTTGTCTGTGATCTATTATTTAAAAAGAAAAAAAAAAGCTAACAACCACAAAAAACTCCACTGGAAGTAAGGTGGTGTTTTTCTCGAGCCCATGGTTTTTGTGATTCTTTCGTGGCACGGGCGAGAGCTATCCTCCAGGGTAATGAGCTATTGCTTGATGCATTTGACGATCTAGTAATCATTCAAGGGCATTGTTTCAACACTAGTCAATGGGCAGTTGATGATCATCACGCTGATATCACTGAGATGTCTCATCATCTCTTTGATGTCTCTCTGTTTGAATTTACTAGTACTCTCGCTTTTATTAATTAAAAACCCAATTCCTGATAAAAAAGAAAAATACTAACTGTTAATCACTAGATATATCATCATACAATTAAGAAAAACCACAATTTAGTATCCCAAAGAAGAATTACCATTCTACTAGTATGTTGTTTTCATTACATTTGATCGAAATCCTTACCTTCAAGAAGATGGCTTGTACTGGTCTCAATGACATCTGGACTTTCTAAAACTAGTTGGGATTGAGATTGGGATTTTAAATTTACTGTCTTTCCTATAAGAAGTGGTTTCTCCAGCTCTCCTGAAACATAATGAGAAAAATATTGAAATAAATTAACAGTTGTACAGTCCATTTTTTGTTGCCTCAACATACATCGTTCATATTACCAGTACCGACAAAAGGGTGTGTATCATAAACACTTGCATACAAAAAGATCATGTTGGATCTTCAAGAGAGATTGCAAATTTTACCACATTAAAATTTCTATCTCCAACAGTATTTATAAATTATGAAATCAAGCTCAAGAAAGAGAGAAAACTCACCTGTTCTTTCAGCATGCCCAGCCGACCAAAACAAAGGAAAAGAGTAAGGAAAGCAATTGTAAAATGTATCTTTGAAGCCTTTGTCCTTGAGATTTGGATCAGTCGTATGAGACATTCCCTTTTGGACTTGACTTCTAGTTGCTAGTTCAGCATTTGAAGTAGAGTTACCCTTGACAGGCGTTGAACTTGACATTTCTCTATTAGTGGCATTAGCCTCCTCATTTTCCTTCCGATTATTGGATTCTGTTTCCGCTGATTTTTCCAGAAATCAAAAGGAAATAAGCATTGGAAAGTAATGCAAGCAAAGAAATGCACATGCAATCTCCTTTTTCACTTAAATGAGGGCCAAGTTTCTTAACACAGACAACATAAAACAAAATGCATGACAAGCTTCTGCAAACAGTATCAATGCCAAGTCTCATAAATACATTGCTATCAGTTTATTAGAAAATACCAAATGAAAGCAACTCAAATTAAGCAAGTTAAATACATTGACAATTAGCAATTATAAACGCCATAAGAGGCAGAAACTGTGGCATATGTCATCTTTCTTGAACAAGCAAAATGGAAAAGCATGTTGAGTAGCATATGCTATTGTAAATAAATGATGCTCAGATGCTCAAACTAAGGATATTAAATGCAGGGTCTAATGGTATCTAATGCGTGTGAAAAATTAGTGCATTATGCAAAAGAATACATCCGATTGACAGAAGGTCCCAGTTCTAGACAGATTTGAAACTCCATAATTCCAAATTTTGTACCAAACCAGAAAACACCATATAAAATGCTGCAATTTGTTTCCACCAGCCGATGCAAAAACAGAAAAATAATATTCAAAGAAAAGAAGTAAAACCAACCACCACCTACTGGCTAGGCAGTTACATTATCACATACATTAAGAGAAACAAAATTATCCATGGAAGTACCAAGACTTACATTGAATTCAATAGAATCTTATTTGAGCTACATTACGCATAAATCTTTACCTTTATGAGGATGGTGACTTGTGTTGCTCCAACTAACATTTGGAGCTTCTGAAAATGGAGATTCAGTTGGAGATTTTGTGTGTGGTATTGTTTCTCTTAAAAGTGGTTCCCTATGCTCCCCTGAAAAGTAAAGAGAATTTGAGATAGACCAAGAGTTCAATGGGTTGTCATTTTGTTGCCATGACAAACACAACTTGTCCAAACTGTACGATGAAATACTGTGCATTACAATAAATTTATGTATGAAAGAAACTTATTTTCAATCTACGAGAGACATGTCAAGAGTTAAAAGTTCTACACAAATCTTATCGTCATGAAGTTATTTGTCAAAGAGGAAATCAAGCATGCATAGGAGACAAAACACCTGTCCTTGCAGAATTTCCACCAGACCAAAGCATAGGAAAAGCAAGTGCTAGAGGGTATCTTTGCAGCCTTTGCTTTGGACATTTGTATCAGTAGTATGTGTTATTCCTCCTTTGAATTGACTTCTACTTCCAAAGTAATCATTTGAAAAGTTATTCGCTTCAATCGATAGAGCTGTGTTATGTGCAGGTATTAGAGTTGATGTTTCTCTTTGATGAGGAATGGCAATAGCCTCCTTGCTTTCCTTCTTATGACAGGATTCACAATGATCCAATTTGGTTTCACAGAAATCGATAAAAAATAAAGTTGCCAAGAATTTCAAGTAAAAATAATATGCACATGCAATCTCCTAATTCACATAAAAACGTGTAAAAAGCAAAAAAAAATACAGAAATATGACAAGAAATAAGGTCGCAAGAGAAATTCCAGTAAAATCAGTTTACCAGCAATTTGTTTTATACTAATTTGACAAGCACATGCATAAGAAGATGACCAAATAAGCATTAAGGCAAAAAATAGGTACTGACATGCAATATATGCTGACATGTTTAAAGATACCATGTGTAGACGTAGTACTCCTCAAGATGCACTTCTGTCTATCCTACTAATGGCTTCCATTTCTCTTAGTTATGCATATTTAGTTGTTGTCTAATATCTAATTGTCTAATATCTAATTGTATATCTCAGTTGTTTGCACAGCCTTTTATCCTCCAAACCAAAACCAAATCAATGCCTTTCCATCTTCATAATTGAAGAATGACTAATGGCCAAATTACTTGAGATATAAATCATCATCCAAGCAAAGAAACATAAAGAACAAATATCCATTTTATATGATGCAATCAAAATGCCATTTCCAACAATATCAAACAGGCCACAAAGATAACGTTAACCAAAACAAGTTACTCCAAGGTTAATCAATGCAGGCAAATAGAGAGGAATAACAAAAAATAGAACTCATATATTTTCATTCAGCATGCATGACACCACTAGGACGTGCAACACTTGTATGGCAATAAAAAGATACTTAGAACATCAGATTTCCTGTGTACTGCTAAATTCCCTATCATCCAATTCTTTCCATATCACAACAGTACGAAACTTACCATTGGTCAGACTCAATAAACTTGAGTCATAGATTTCTTCTTTCTCAAAGGATTTTTTTGTCATACTTGACTCGTGGATTTCTTCTTTCTCAAAGGATGCTTCTACAGTAGATTTTACGTCTTCACCTCTAGACTTGTGATAAGAGAGTCCATCTGTTTCTTGTGCAATTTGTGGAGGAGCATGTTCAAAATTTCTGTCTAAATTAGCCTGAACATCCCGACAAGAAGTTCCCATCTTGTATGAGGCACTATCCGTAGGCATGGCCTGAATCCCCACATCTGGTTCCTTTGTTTTTACAACTGCTGGAGTTCCATGTTTACCTACTTCACATTAGGTGCTATAAAGTTTCAGCAGCTATAAAAATTGTTACTATCAATAGAAGCGAGGAAAAAGCCACAAATTTTCTTTCAAGTTATGTACTCAAGCCAAAGTTTATAAATTCCTTGCAACAAAAGCACATTGCTATATGCAAATCATTTGTAAGAGGCTTTAAAAATAAAGGTCATTATGCTTACGCTCACTGACCCAATCTATCTCATTGAACTTTCTTGTCATTATAAGATAAAACACAAAATTCGTAACTCTAGTTTCTTCAGTTTTTGTAGAGATTGTTAAAGATCTTGCATTATGTATGGCATATCATATCATATATATTAAGCTTAGTGTATCATATCATGTATAGTAGACATACTATATAATATCATAAAAGGTGAGGCGGTGCATTACACTCACAGTTGTTGGGTCCGGGAGTGGGAATGGAAGCCGAATCGGGATCGGGAGCAAGGGATAGTGAAATGCTAGAAGATCCCCATGGTTGGGAGCATCATCTATACAATGCATATGTTAGGGTGAAGATCCCCAAATGTTAGGAATCGAGGTCCAAACGTTTTAGGGATCTTAATTTTGACCTTTTGGGATATAGGATTATATATACACTCTTTAAAGTAGGTATTTCTTTATTTGTAGCCAGCAAGCAATATAACTATATTAAAACTACAGTTGTGTTGCAAACTGGCTATAAAAGAAAAAAAAAAATTCATTGGCTTGGTTGTTGTCTCAGTCTTTAAGGTTGGGATGGAGATTTCTAACAGTGGGAATGGGGATCCCTAACAGTAGGGTTCAGGATAGCAGAATTTAGAAATCAAGATCCCTTTCCCAGAGCACAGGAGCAAGATTCCGCAGCGGGATCGCCACCAATTTAGGAAATCCCGGTAACTATTATTACACTTTGTACCTTATCTTGCTATGCAAGTTATTTTATCATATAGTAGGTGTACTATGAGATATCACAAAAGGTGAGGTGCTGCGTATCAGAGAAAAAGCTTTGAGCAATCAAGTTTTTCTATCTCGAACCATGGTGTTTCCCAGCCAAAGCCACCACAGAAACAAGGTGGTTTCGCCATAGCCTTCTGGGGATCTCTTGTTAGCTGATTTCTGGATGATCTCTTTGCCCAGTCTCAGATTTGACCTCTTATAGGTTGACTTATGGCAATCCATAAACATCTCTAGCTGATAGTTCCCAAATCTGAGTTTTGATTCAAATCGAGTCTTTTGATCAAGGTTTGATCTCATACCTCTTTCTTTTGGGTTTTCTTTTTATTCAATATTACTTTTGATCCCAGATTGAGGCTACTAATGTAGATTGGACATGGCTTCTATGAAGGGAGATAGTTGGTTGCAAAACATGATGGGAAAGACTACCAATTGGCGTTTTCATTTTCAATTTTTTGTTGAAGGAAAGGATTTGTGGGGTTATGTTAATAGACCTAAATCACAACCTGCTCCATCCAACCCCAAAAGAAACCTAAGAATGGAAGGTAAACAAGGCTAAGATTGTCTTGTGGATCATACACTATGTGGATCCAAACATCAAAGGCCAATGAGAGGTTTTCGCATTGCAATAGAAATATGGGAATATCTACAAAAGGTCTATCATCCATCAAATCTTACGGGGCGATTCCAGATTGAGTATAACATGATTGTCTGTAGACAAAGGTAGAAGAATATCTAGGAATGTTATGCTAGTTTTGAATTTGTAAGTATGAAGGTTATCCCTAATACTTGGTGCATTAAAAGTTTAAAGGATATGAGGCCATTCGAACAAAAATCTTGAATCATGAAACACCACTCTGGATGCAATTCTTAGCAAGTTACTTCGAGGAGACGAGAATTACAATAGATGCTAGCATTAAAGGAAAAAGGGTCATGGATCCATCTTTGTGGCCTGATGGACCAAGGGAAAGCCATCACAAAAGAAACAATCTTTACTGAAATGGTATGAACGTAAAGAATATGGCCTTGTCTCATCCCATTTTAGGAAGAAGAATTTTTGTGTTTATTGCAAATGTCCTAGACATATTATCATATAGTACCACGATAGTCGTCAGTGAGGCAACTGCTCATCAAATCCAAGGCAACCTACTTATAAGGCATACAGGAGAGCCAATGATAGAGGGATAGATGGTGGATATCAGATCATAAGTTGCTCCATCAAACACTGTTTATACCCTAGAAATGACAGGGCCTCAGACAACCGCTACATCATATGTTATTAGACAGAGCCTAGAAATGACAGGGCTTGTCTGGTAAGGATGTTATTAGACAGAGCCTAGAAATGACAGGGCTTGTCTGGTAAGGACTCTCACCTATCCCCTACTATGAACCCCCTTTGGTTTATTGATTCAGGTGCTTATAATCATATGATTGGAGTGAACACAAGTCCATCATCTACTAAGGGATTGTTTTATGTTTTTTAATACAAGTTAACCCGATTTTATGTGGAAGTTATGAAGAAGTTATGAAATACCATGATTGAAGATTAAAGGCGGGTTATTTTGAAGTTCCAGTGTTCAAACAAGTGAAAACACGAACCAAATGGTTCTCCCAAGAGAAGTGGAATGAGTGTGATCGTAAACCTACCTATCTGGGCACTGAAAAAACAGAGTTAGGTTGATAATATTTTTTCGCTGAAGTAGTAAAATATCTACACTGCTTCTTGATCAATAGTTGAAAACTATTCTCAGCCAAAATAATTTGAAAAAAATATATGAGAACATATTCATATCCTCAATGAATATGTTTGTTGAGAGGAAATGGTCATAAGGAATATGAATGCCTAATGGAAACTTCATCACAACAAACGACATCCAAAAATGCCAAAAAAAAAAAGAAAAAAGAAAAGAAAAGAAAGAGCAATCAGACAACTATAACGAAAACAAAGTTTCAAGAATGCTTAGATTATATATATGGTAAGACAGAATATCTCCTCAAAGCTCAATCAGTTGTTAGTAAGAAGGATGTAAGGGACATGTAGGCATCAAATGCTTTTACAGACCAACTAAGCCAATGTAATCTATTAGGTCAAGAAAACATCACTTCAAAAGAAACAGTGGAAACATATGCAGGAATATAAATCCAGAACAACAGTATTTTGCTTGCTATATCACGGTCCAAGCTCCACTCTCATTTAAAAGCTATAAACTAGCTTCAATGACTACTTTTAGAATTGTTAGATTAGCAACAAGGGAATCCAATTAAAGTAAATTATTACTTTCATGCCCTTTAAATTTTTGAAAGATTCTAATCGTCATTGACATATGACTAGAACTTGAGATGAACATAGGTCTAATGGGTTAAGGAATAAGCTACAATTCATTGCATATGCCAAAAGAATCACAACATACTTCAGCAAAGTTGCCCCCATATATTTCAATCTACTCTTAGTAGTAAAAAGGTCCACAGTGAGAAAAGAACACCAACATGTTCACATTTAACAAGAAAATTTAAATTATGAGTACATAAATGATAACAATTAAATCCATTTGCTCTTCAAGATCTATGACACTGGCATTGATACCTCAAAAGCCATAAAAAAAGTCAATCCAAACACAGTAAAAATGAAGGAATTTTTTTCTAAATAATTTGCATGGTAGAATTTAAATCCTATAAATTACTTATAAGTGCAGGGAACATACCTGACACAGTTCCAGTCATTCCGTCCTGCCGCCATTTACCCAAGAAGGAGAAACAATGTGAGTTATCGTTTTCAGCACTAGCATGATCTCTCTGTTGTATTTGTGATGGACTTTGCAATCTTGTATTCTCATTTCCAGCATGAAATAATCGAGAGAAAAACTCGAGACCCGTTGCTGTTTTCAGGTTCAAGTCCAAGATTAGTTATTAACTTTCTGGACAGTCTCAGCAAAGAATCTTTGCAATTACCTATGAAATGAATTGGAACAGGGCACTACAAGTAATTACAGGAAATTCATTCAGTTTGCATCAAATGTTGATGTTCATCCAAAGAGGTGATTCCACAACTACCTCGCAACTGAACTGTTATCATTCTCTATAAGACTGCTATAAAGAAAAGAATATATTAAGGAGACTACGATACATACATCATTATTAAAATAATACAATTATATGTTGGACCTTCAACAGTGTAGTTTCTCAAACCATCCATTGTTGAGGACAGACAATAGATGCCCGATAATGGATGGTACACAATGCACAAGGTGTATGGCATACCTTCCTAGTAAAAAGGTGAATTTCTATGAAGATGATAAGATTTTAATAGAAAAACGGCATTCCTTAATATGATAAATAGTGTTTTGATTATAAGATGGCATAAATAAGATTTAATTTTGAAGTTTAAGTAATATGTATAATTAGCATGACTCATCATGGAAGAAAAATATAAGAAAAAATGAAACATAAATTAATTTTCGTAAAAAATAAACTTTTATCTGGAAGCTCATTTAATAAATAATTTATGAAAAAGTTATAGCAGCATTGTAGAAAATATGTAAACACATGAAAGTAAACAAGCACATGGATTGAGGAAAAATAAACATATACATTTAAAAAAAAAAACCTAATCCAAAATGCCGAATTGTTGTGCCTTATTTGGTGGAAAAGGTTGTCTGACATGCTAGATTCTTCCACTTAAGTCTTAAAGCATTCTACAAGTTTGACTAGTGTAGAACATATGGTTTGGGGTCTTTACAGAAAAACTGGAAAAACCCATAGGGCCTGGATCTGTCAACTGCAAGGGCAGTAACAGGATACAAGTGAACCCTAATACACCCACCGTATTGGATCTGAAAGCTTTGAGTAATGAGGTCCACCTATCTAAAGAAAAAAAGTTGATCAACTGAGAAATTGTCAGGTGACTTTTTGAAAACTTCGAAAAATTTTGTGAAGGTTAACAATCGACTTACCTGAATTTTCAACTTTCTCATAGAACCAAATTTTACAATTTAAAAAGTCAAGCCATAACAAGCTTGGTAGCTTGTTGTGCTGACTTGGTTAAATTTTAAAGCAATGAGTTCATCACTGTTTTACTTCATGATCTAGGAGGCAACTGTTTGTGAATTAAGAAGAACATCTCCAGTAATCTGTCCCGCAAAAAATTTCAATCCAAATCATGTTTTTACTCCTTTTTGGTGCATTTTATTCCCACTAATAAAATTCATTGATTCCAAGACAAAGAATACTACAACTATAAAAAAGGAAGAGCAAGGCCATACCTGTACGAATGAAAATGCATAAACAAGATAAACATCTGAATGCCTCTGTTTGCACATCCTCATGCTCTCTACTCTCAGTACTAGCCTCAGTAAAATCAGTTTCTTGTTTCTTTCTTTGTTGCTGTATGTCATTTGCAAGAGGAACATAACGCTTCCTTTTACGAAGGACAACTCTTCTGGTTATACAAGACTTACAGTTTGGACAAAATAAATCATGCGTCTCCTGCTCCTTTAATACCCTCTCCAAATCCATTTCTTCACTCCCTAGAACTCCAGCAATATATGTATGTAGTGTACCATTCTGAACTTCTGTTAATCCTTCTTTCCTATACTCGGCAGAGGCCAAAGTACCCGGGGAATCTGATCCATTTGCTTTCCAACTGTCACCGCCAAGAGTATCATTTGCATCAGCCAATTCTTTCAATTTTGTATTGGTAGAGGATTCTAAATTTCCAGGTTTTGTTTCAATAAATTCATTAGTCACTGGAGCACCTGTAAGTATTTCAATGAACAAGATCAATAACTAAAACCCTAGTTCTGTATAAACCGAAAAAGCTTTGTGAAAACAGTGTACTCCACTATATGACCCTTTCAATCTCCAACAGAAGTAACAACCGATTACGAAGACACGACCAATATCTTATAAAGTACATCTGTTGCCAGAACTATAAAAGGAGTAAATTACAATTATTGGATAATCGATTACGTGCATTTGCAGAAAACTATAAGTTACAATTTGGTTAAATGTGGACTTTAAAATGTTTTCCGGACAGTAATTTCCAGTATCCTAACTTTGAAAGATCCTATTCAAAACAAACCTTCTTTAACTTGTGAACTGAAACATAATCTTTGGTCAAGTAATGCTTTTGAATTCTTCCACCCCAGGAAGCACCCTTTGTTATTGTGTCTATGATCTACAGCAGGAATTTCCAATTGATGTGTCCATATGCAAAGTCGACACTTCCACATGCCTTCAAAGCCACAAAAAATAAATGGCGACTTTATTCAGCTGAGCAACAAGACTTTGCAAATGCCTCTGCCTAAATTCATGAGAATTGATTGAATTGAACGTGTCACCAAAGAATAAGTTTTCTCGCACAACTACCAAGGAAAAGATTTTGGATATGCAGAAGGAACATTACTAAAAGGAAAGAAGCCTAAAATAGGAATAATACCTCAAGCAAATGATTTATGTACTAAGAATATGTATGAAAAAGACATGAAATGCGGAACTATTCTAGTTCTGAATTAACAAATATAAAATATCTGTATTGTTACACTTTCTTATATGAATGGAGTGTGCAAGTTATGATCCAGAATTCTTTGGGGGTAGGTTAAGTGGGTTCAAATCCACAACATCAAGGTTGCAAGATTGGGTGCACTCCAGTTGAGCCTCCACTTTGATGCCAAAACCATGGATCACAATCACAAGGAAATAAGGATAATTTTCATGTATATTAAAGAGGTAAATCGAGATATGGAAAAGCCAAACTTTGATCCTCTTGGTATAATTATAATGAAATGATTCAAGAAAAGAGAACAACCGATAAAACTCCTCCCTTACCTTGAAAACATACTATGATTTCAAGAGAAAAAATGAATGATGAAACTACCATTCGTGAATAATTACTGACAAAATATGGGGTAAAGGAACAAAGGTACTAATGTGCGAGTATATATATTTTGGGTAAATATGTGTGAGTATAGATACCTACCTACCTACCTACCTACCTCTCTCTCTCTC